TAGGTAATAGCTTCACACACAATACTTCACTTCACATAGGATAACTCCACAGATTCAGAAAAAATAATTAACACCACTCTAACTCTAGGCCTCTAGGTATAGGCAATCGTAATTCGTAACCGACAAATCGGTATATTAACTGCAATTTAATACACCATACACGATACACGCATACACCTTTAATTTTTTTGCTTTTCAAGACAATGCAAGTTAGCGTCTATCTAAAAGGACCATCTATAAAACAGTAAAACAAAAATAAGGAAAAACCATGGCAGGCACCAGCTTAAATATATTTCCAGCTCTGGGTCTGGAGGGGGGAGGCCGCCGCTATCAAAGACAAAGGCAAGGCGGCCGCCGCTATCAAAGACAAAGGCAAGGCGGCCGCCGCTATCAAAGACAAAGGCGACCGCCGCGCCGCGCCGTTGTAAAGACAAAGGCGGCCGCCCCTATCAGAAGCGAAGGCGGGCCGGCGGGTCAAAGGTAAAGGCGGCCACGGTGTATTTGTCGAACGCGCGCGATATCCGTTTTACCAAAGTTACTAAATGTAGACTTTGGTTTTACATGCTTGCTATTTACTGAAATAAAAAATAAGTTAGACCAAAAAATGCAGAAAAGAAGATGGGATATTTAGGAATTCTCTTCTTTTTGGTAATTTTAATAAGCATAAGCACTGAGGATTTTTTCGTAAACTTTATGTTAAGACAAGTTTTTAAAAAGGGCCCCCCAGAAGCTCTGGGCCCTGGGCTATAGCCTACATAGCCTAATGGATAATCCGGCGGTGTTTATGCTTACAAACCTTCTTTGTGATTGTACACATAATGTGTAAAATTGTTGCAAGATCAAAAAAACAAAAATATTAAAAGATCGTCCTCATCAAATAAATCCATATTTTCAGAGTTACCAGACATCCTCTTTTAATAAAATAAAAAGATTGTTCCACAAAATTTATTTTTTTGAGAAAAAACTAATTGACAGCACAAGTGAGTGACACAAAACATTTAAATATTCGTAGCACAAAACACCTTGTTTACCCTTAATTGTGAATCTGCTGATGCTTTCAGTTTCCGTTCTCGTTCCCGTTTCCGTTCTCGTTCCCGTTCCCGGGCAATTGTGCAGCCGCCTTAACCTCTGCCTTAACTAACTAAATAACTTCTCAATACAATACAATAACACTTCTCAACATGATACTATAAACTACAGATAAACCCACGCGCACGCGATCAGTCGTGTGACGTCACTTGGCGACAAATGTCACCAGAAATGTTCTGTGTTGTATGGAGTTTTGTCAGATTTAGTCAAGGTTAGTAGATATTTAAGTATCTACTTAAATATCTACTAACCTTGAGATTTAGTTTTGTTTTATCGTTTATCTTGTACGTTGACATCGGTTTACTGGGTAAAACTATCTTTCCGAAGGAGGTTTACTTAAACCATATCCAGATTTTCTAATTAAATGTAATGAAATGGACCATATTTTTAACATTTTTACAAAGGGTCATTAAAAATAACCAAGAATTATTTAAAATCGCTAATGGATTTAGCTGTGTTCAGATGTAATGTTAGTAAAGGTGTAAATTATATTTTAAAATTAGAAATTGAATAGATATATTAAAGAAACATCCAAAGTTAAGAAAAAGAAAATATTAAAAATTGTAAAATAAATTGTTAAATACACTTGTAAATTATTACAGTGTATTTTATTTTATCAGTTGTATTAAATTTTTATTTTAATAAATTAATCCATTGTATATAAATTTCCATTTGCAAAAGGATGTTTAGTTCTTACTTTTTATATAATTTTAGTTTACATTGCTAGGCTAACAGATATATATATATATATATATATATAATATATATATATATATATATATATATATATATATATATAATACACTTCATCTAATTTATATAACGATGCACGTCATCGGCGTCATAGCCTGTGGCGTCACATGATACCAAATAAAATATTTGGGGTGTAGGTGTGTTCTTTTTTAGAATCACTTTACCGAGTACACTGACATTACAGCCACTAGACATATTTTATTATATACGCGTAGAAATCATATTTAAAAATTTCTATATTAATGTTAACTTGAAGAAATACACAATAATATGTTTTATTTAATTTGTATAAATGCATTATAAAGCGTTTTTATCAAGAACATTTGTTCGGAACACACTGTAACTGTAATCGAACGAAGGTAAAATTTTGCATAAATTGGTAAACTTATTTGACAGTTGCGGTGTTGACACTTTTTGTACTTCATTATTTTGAATTTTAAAGTGAATATCTCTTGTTTTATATTTTTAACTATCTAATAAAATCTGTTCTTTTTAGAACAAAATTAGTGTGTTTTATTTCAAAACTGTCACGTAAGAATTTAAATAGTCGTTGTAAGAGATGGTAATACTTTGCAATAATTATGTAATCTATTTGATTTAAAATGGAGTCAGGATTTTTTTATACTTTGGCAACTATGTCAACTTCGATCCCTGACGTAGATAATGACGTAAGTCGTTATCTAAATTAGATGAAGTATATATATATATATTATATATATATATATATATATATATATATATATATATATATATATAATATATATATATATATATATATATATATATATATATACACTTCATCTAATTTATATAACGATCCACGTCATCGGCGTCATAGCCTGTGACGTCACATGATACCAACACAAAATATTTAGGGTGTAGGTGTGTTCTTTTTTAGAATCACTTTACCGAGTACACTGATATTACAGCCACTAGACATATTTTATTATATACGCGTTAGAAATCATATTTCTATTAATGTTAACTTAAAGAAATACACAATAATATGTTTCATTTAATTTGTATAAATGCATTATAAAGCGTTTTTATCAAGAACATTTGTTCGGAACACACACTGTAACTGTAATCGAACGAAGGTAAAATTTTTGGCATAAATTGGTTAACACTTATTTGACAGTTGCGATGTTAACACTTTTTGCACTTCATTATTTTGAATTTTAAAGTGAATATCTCTTGTTTTATATTTTTAACTATTTAATAAAATCTGTTCTTTTTAGAACAAAATTAGTGTGTTTTATTTAACAAAATGTCACGTAAGAATTTAAATAGTCGTTGTAAAGAGATGGTAATACTTTTGCAATAATTATGTAATCTATTTGATTTAAAATGGAGTCAGGATTTTTTTATACTTTGGCAACTATGTCAACTTCGATCTCTGACGTAGATAATGACGTAAGTCGTTATCTAAATTAGATGAAGTTTATATATATATATATATATATATATATATATATATATATATATATATATATATATATATATATATCTATATATATATATATCTATATATATATATATAACATATTTTTAAGATTTAATCGCAGATATTTTACCTAACATCCCTTAATATTCTAAATATTTAAATAAAAACCCCTTTCTTTCCATATATGTTTTACGGACTGTGATGATAAAAGGTTGGTGATAAAAGTGACTTTTATCACCAATTGACGTCATGCGCGTCGATGTACAAAATTCGATTGCGAAGTGGGTTTATCTTGGAAGTCTTAGTATCATGAATAGGTCGATATAAATGGTATAAACAAACATGACAGTCGAAAATACCATTGCTTTTCAAAGTTTAGTTTGGTTTAAGACGAGTTATTTTTATCATTTAAAAAAGGAAATTAGCCTTAATGATATCTTTGTGTATTGTGGTGGTGAAGCAGAGGCCATTGGTTGAAGGGGAAGCAGTTTTCAAGTGATGAATTTTTAAATTTTAACTTCAGTGTTTGGAACTGACTTTTTAATAAATTATACATTTGTTGTTCACTTATTTTAACATTTCGCACATTGAAATCAAAAGTGGCACTATATAAAAAACTCAATTTTACAGTACAGCTGTTTAAAGTTTTTTAACATGATTTTTATGCCAATACTTAAAAATAAATTGAAAACAAGCAATGTGATTAGTTTTAAATAATAATTTAATTATCTCTTTTTCAGTATAAATTAACTTTTAAATAAATTAACTAGTGTTTGTTGATAAAAAAGGTATTTGAAAAAAAAATTCAGTATAGTGCCACTTTTGTTTTTATACAATCAATTACTTTTTGTTTAATGGCATAGTTAATTCATTAACTCTTCTACTATTCTACTACTCCAATTGAGTAAATGAATGTCAGGAATAAAATAAAAACTAATTTTAGATGAATAAAGTATTTATTTGTATATACTACAAAAGATAGTCTTACTTGAATCAGTCACGACAATATCACGCAATGTTTTAATTAAAATAAAATATTTTAAGACTATCAAAATAAACTAAGAAAATAAACGAATCGTAACAAAAAATGCAAATAGGCATTTGTAAAAATGTGATAATACTAAGAGCTATTACATTTTCAATTAAAAATACTTTCATAGTAGGATCGGTAATATCCAGGAATCAACCCCGCATCCACAAGACTCCTCACGTCATTTTTCTTCCTTTCGGATATATCCAATTTTTGGTGGTACAATGGTTTAAGTTCTTGAGGTCGGCTGTTTCATAATTAATATAAAAATAATAAACATATTTTTAAGATTTAATCGCAGATATTTTACCTAACATCCCTTAATATTCTAAATATTTAAATAAAAACCCCTTTCTTTCCATATGTTTTACCGACTGTGATGATAAAAGGTTGGTGATAAAAGTGACTTTTATCACCAATTGACGTCATGCGCGTCGATGTACAAAATTCGATTGCGAAGTGGGATTATCTTGGAAGTCTTAGTATCATGACTTCTCAATATATAAACAAACAAGTGATCAACACTACTAACACTATGGCCGATTTCGCACATGCGCAAAGAAATTTGGATTGCGAAAAAGCCCTCCGTTTCCCTTCTTGTCTTCTTGTTGTGATTAGTATTCTGTGGTATAGAGAACCTATTTTTCTGTTATTTATTATTATTTAGCTATGTTATTTAGTTTTAGTACAGAGTACAACAGCACACATCTATGCAGGCCTCTAGGCATCGAGCAAAAAGACAAAGGACTAGGATGTAATAAACACAAATCACCTACCTCATTAACCTATTTCTTAACAGTTATGTCACAGTATAAATAACAACTTATGTTTTATTAGTGGGTAAGTTATTTTAGTTAACTATCATTTTAAGTGAAAATCTATTTTTAACTAGCAGAAATAAAATAGAAAAACAAAAATAGATTTGCTCATTTTGTAAATTTTTTGCTTTCAACATATTTCTATATTCTTAGATATTATATATACTGATAACTTCCAAATTTTCAGTACCTAATAAAAGAAATGAAAATTATTAACAAAAAGGAAGTACCTCAAGGAGGTTTAATATTAGAAGAAAAGCCCTTTGTGTATATACTCTGTGAGAAGTTTCGGACTGATAGGTGTGATTTCTGTTTTCAGAAGTAAGTAATGTGAAAAAATATACTTTTATTTGAAATAAATTAAATATTGTGATTAAATTATATTTTACCATTCTTCTCATTTCTTATTAATACGTAAATTTGCACAAAATATACCTTACACCTAAGTTACATCATAAAATTATACACTATTCTTATTATAAGTATACTATTCTCTTTTAATCTTTTTACAATAACATTAGTTTTGTTTACTGCAAACTTGTTTTTATTGATGACAGGACAATTTTATAGACGATTTGGTACTAATGTAATAAGCTGGAACCATGTTTACGGAGATGAAATTTATATCAATGAATTCTGCTTCACTTACTAATGATTGCGCAATGATTTTTATGCAATGCAAGACGTTATTTCGACGGTTAAACTGCAAAACCTCCTAAGTCAGTTTTATGTAACTTTACAGGAGAGACGAAAAGCGTTTTGGCTTCTTGACTTAACATTCAGTTTTCTCATTTTTTGAGTGTAGGGTTCTTTTGAGGTAACGATTACATTACTCTTAAGTAAAATTTAGTAGCATTGTTTTTTTTGTCAAAAAGCCACTTACCAGGTTTTGCAACTTAAAATCTTAAACTGTCAGTAAACTTACGAGGTTTTGTCTCAAAAGAACCACTTCCGAGGTTAAAAAAAAGCAATAAATTAAATTATTTTTAGTTAATTTATTACATTACATCACCTATGGTATAAAACTTATAAAATATTCTTAAAAACGAGTAGTGATAACCAATCTTTATACTTAAAAAGTAAAAAAATCAAAACCAAAATAGTTGAGTTTATAAAACTTGCTAATATTCACAATTAAATTAAATTCTGTCCATAAGAATAAAAAAAATCAAAAATAAAAATTGTGATAATTTATAACTGGCTAATATCCTCTATTTACTCATGAGCAAGAGACTCATAAAAATGCCGAAAATCTTTAGGAATAAAGTTTTTCATATCCTGCAAATCATTAAATTTAGAAAGTGTTATTTTTGGTGAAGTAGGATATGATAATGGCGGTGCATTATTTGCTTTTTCTTTGTTGGGTCGTTGCGGTAGTAGTTTCCAGTCATCTTCTTAATACAATTTGTACTCTATAAGACCATTCGGACGATATGCTAGACACCTTAAATTTGTGACTGTAGGATCACCTTTTTTCTTACCTGGACGAATTGAGGGATATGTTTCAATCTGGGAATAATCTTTAAAGAAAAGATGATCTTGGTAATGAACATCATAAGGATGCTGTAATTTTGCATTTTTACAAATTTGAACATAACAGCCAGGTACATAAATGTCCCTATTTTTCACCTGACGCTCGATGCAGGCGTGCATCGAGTCGCACTCCATTTGAGTATGTCCTTTTTCCAAATAGTTTTGGTAAATTTGAATATTCTTTGCTGCTGCAAAATTGGATAAAGCACTACTCAAAGTTGAATTCCTGTTTTGGTAATTGCAGCCATCAGAAAAAAAAATAACTTCTTTTGTTTCTTCTGTTACATACTTTTCAATCTGGTGAATGACAATTGATGTGAAGTCAGAAGCTTTTATATTTCCGGCTCCCTCATGCCAGATGTAACAGTCACCCTTATTTGATGCTAGATTAAAAAAGCACAAGTTGTGAACATTAAGTTTCTTTTTATAGTACGAAACAGATACTTGCAATTTTGGCGCACTTAAAACCGTTTGTAAATCCATAGTGAACAACAATTTAGTTGAATTGTTTTTAGGGACTGTTTTAATTTTTCCTTTTCTTGGCGAGCAGCATTTTTTCTAATAATATGTAACTGATAACCTTCATTACTTACAGTCCCAACAGTGTTACTAGTGCAGATGTCACACTGGTCCTTCCTAAAAAAAAATTGATTTATTGGAGGCAATAAAATAACAATAAGTAAACACTTACTTTGGCCTAAACATAGACAAATTTTGGTCTTCAAATTGTCTTCTAAAATACGTGTGACTTACTGGAGCATGTTCGTTAGTTGATCGACATTCATTAGTGTAACATCTATATAATTAGTTTATATTTTGCCACATCGGTTCTAAATACAATTTAGATGTTTCTTTACGGCAATAGTGGCTTTCAAGTTTGGGCAACTTTTGAAAAAAGTTAATTAGGAACTTTTTCTTTTCCGTTGGCTCGGATTTACAATTAGTATTCAATTCCTCAATATTTTGGGTTTGAGTTACGTTTACCCAACTTGCTACACTCCACTCCCCTACACATAGTGTCTCTAAAAACATTTTTTTGCATACCTGAAGTCGTATACCTTTTTTTTTAAATGAAAACATAAGGTACCTTTCCGCTGTTTCTCAATGGCTTCTAAAATCAAATTTATTTTAGTAAACCTATTATAGAGTTTAAAATATTATTAGTTACCTGCTTTGCGTAGTTTAATTGGTGCTGTATCAACAAGGCCTTTTACAAACATTTTTTTCTCGTCCCAATTCAACTGCCAAAAGTTGTTGAATAACTGTAACCTATCTTCTTGACTAAATGTTCTGCAAAAGAGTTTTGATGATTTTAAAGACAATTTGCATTCACAAGCTGGACCCATTTGTCTTTGATTTCTTTCAACGGTTACATACTTTTTAGTAGTTTTTTCGTACATTTTGGAATCATATTTCTCACCTCGCATTCTTTTTATTTTGTTGTTAGAGCGACCCCATTTTTCTTTGTGTACATTCCATTTTTTTGCCCTTTTCTTTTTGGTTTGATTTTTATTGTCAGTTTCAGCTTCATTGGTAAATTGGTCACTTTCATCAGTGTCATCGGTAGACACTATATATTCAGATCCACTGTCTTCAAATGGTTCCGTTTCTTCAGAATTTAAATTTATAACATCATCATTACTGTTATTTAAACTCGGAGATAAAGATTTTAAATCATGGGTTTTATCTGCATAATTATTATCACTAAGTGATGACTGACCATCTTTTATACTAAAAAGATAACCTGCTTTATTGATTACGAACAAATTACCTTAATATTACAATAAAAATAATTGTACAACAGTTAACTTATCCCTCTTGGCAATCTCCACTGTTTGTTTTTATTAAGCTTAAGATATATTTTCCTCTTGAATTCATTATCAAAATTATGTAATACCAATAGATATTATCTTCTCAAAATCTCATTAACACAACAACAAAATTGACAACCACCACTCAAGTAATGAAATAGTTTCTGGAAGTCCCACAAAATTAAACTCCAAAACCACGCAAGTCGAACTTAAGAGTTTTCTGTTAACAGTTAGTTTTACGAGGTTTTTGTAGATGTCGCTAGTACCATTAAATTTAAATATAGACTAACAAGATTTCGTAGTTTAAAAGATATGGAAAAATATAAACCAAAAAAGTATAAAAGTCATAATTGACCAAAAATCGACTTACGAGGTTTTGCACTTTAACCGTCGATTTTTTATGTAATTTCCATTTAAAATATGCCCGATTTTTAAAAGCCACCGCCATTATTTACCATGAAACAACAAGAAATGATGACTATGACAGGAATGACAATTGTTTCTTATGGTCAAAAATGGTAATTTTTATCCAGTGTTGCCATAGTTATTCCAAATTATGTTTTCTAATGAATTTCAAATTGGACATTAAAATAACATTTTATTATTACCTACTTTTAACTGAAAATTATAGCTTTTTTACAAGGGTCAGGTTAGGTTTGGTTACGTTTATTATCATATTTTCTTATGAAAAATAAAAAATTTGATTTTTAATTACATTACAAAATTTTATTCTTGTTACTGCTTTTTTACGAGCGTTAGGTTAGGTTAGGTTAGGTTGGTTTAGTTTTATCGTCATGTTTTCTTATTGGGTTAGATTTGGTTTATTGATTTGCATTTTTCATAATAAAATGTAAAGAAAAATATGAAATTTTATGTTAATAAATATTGGGGGATTCCCAGACAGACTTTTGACGGTTAAAACAAACAAAATGGTGTGTCGGTGAAGATTTCCTGATAAGGAGAGAATGCATGCATTCTTTACCGCTGCCGTAACTATTTATAGGTGGAACAAACATCCACCTAGTTATTAGGATTTTATCTACACCTAGTTATTTGGATTTTATCTACCTGTTCATTACGGAAAGTAATTTTTAAAGTAAATTTAATTTAAATTAAATTTTAAAATTTAGGTATTTTAAATGTTAAAACTGGCAACAATGTCAAATGTACATAAAATTTAACTTCTTGCGCATGGCCGCCATATTGTTTTGAAATATTAAAAATCTTGATTATTTTAAACAATTTTACTCATTTTTTCATAATTTTACAGTAAAAAATAGTGATATTTAATATGTTTTAGTTACGTTTTTTTATAAAGACATGGATATATACTTTTCTTTACTTTTTATGTAATTTTTTTTGGTTCATAATACTTTTTTTGCTATTTTTTCTTATTTTTTTGATTATTTGGGCACTTTTAATAGTTTAAAGCAAAGAAAACATTAAAATTTGAGGTTTTTTCACTTTTTAGGCTAAGTCCACAAAAATTTGGGTATTTTTAAGGCGTTCCGGCTTAGTAAATAATTACCTTGGTTGTTTTTCATTGCTTGGTCATTAATAGTTTAATTTGTTGCTTAATTATTCCAAAAATAGTTCTTTAAAAGTCTATTTTTTGAAAATTATTAATAACTTTTTTTAAAATGCACAAAAACTTTGATTTCGCGTAACAATAAGGACATTATCACAAATATTCAGCTTTAAAAATTTCAAGAATTTCCAGTTAACAGTTATTGCAAAATTGAAATTGTTTATCCCAAAAAGGTATAATGTAAAAGGTTTACTATAGAATGTTATTATACGTAAACTATTGGGTCTATATGAATTGTTAAAGCACCAAATTGAAGAAAGAGGCTTACTTTATCAAATTAAATCATTTAATGATTAAAAAGTTTATGTTAAATATTGTAAAATAGGTTTGAAAAGTACTGTGATTTTAAGCTTACATACAATTAAAATAACTCATACGCAATAACATTTAGGAAGATATTTTTTTATTTGCCATGTTGGCATTTTTGCACGAATTAAAAAAAAAAACATAATGCCCTACGATCATTAAAACCTGAGTTGGGGGGGGGAGGTTGGGGGGCAGCTGCCCCCCTGCCCTCTACAGTACCGCCCACTATACCACTTTTTTTATTATTACTTCAATGTTGGAAAATATTTTATTCTAACCAAGTACATTTGTATGCTATTCTATGCATTGTATTCCAAGTGTATAATTAAAACTTATTTTAGGGGTCAGTTATTTAAATGTTCAGTCTGCAGATATACTTATTATTGTGGGAGAGCGTGTCAGCGAGAAGGATGGACAATGCATAAATTAGAATGTAAATATCTAAAACAAATAAGTCCAAGAATATTGCCCGATTCTGGAAGATTGTTAGCAAGACTTATAAAGGTATTAGAAAAGGGTGGACTTAATACTAAATCTTATTATACTGATATAAGGTTTAGAACGTTTAAAGATTTGATGTCACGTAAGTTAATCGCTTTATGATTTATGAGTATTTATAAATTAAATATAAAAAAATAGATAAAATTATTTACTAACATTTTCTCTCAGTCAGTATGATAGTGTTTGTATTAGACCATGTTCAACATTATAGGGAGGTGTCTTTGAAAAAAGGTCGATTTCATATCCACAATCCGAAAGCTGAAAGTTAATGCAAAATACGCTTCTACAGCTGCTATGCCCTAATCATTTGATAAAAGCGCTTTACGCACATGAATTTTTTTAGGTATTTTTTTACAATAATATTCAGAATTTATTGTTTTACCAGTTTATAAGTAAACTACAAACAAAATTCTTTTCGCATCCCAAAAAACTGATGCTAACATCTTTTTGGCCGATTTCTGGACATAAACTCGTTTTGGAGCCGAAGAACGAGGTTCACACCACACTTTAACATCTTGTTTTGATTCAAGATCATAGTGATAGACCCAAGTCTCATCCATACTGATGAATCGACGGATAAAATCCACTTTATTCTTTGGTAAACGCTATAAATGTTGCTGAGAAAGTCGCATTCGAATGTGTTTTCGTTCCTTTGTTAGCAAATGAACATAGTTTTCTAAAACATAAAGTCACAATATTACTTACACTGTCCAATTATATGTCTAGGGCTTCTACTAAATCTCTTTGTCATTAGACGATTTTCCACTACGATATTCTGTATTTTTCTACGATTTCTGGTATTGGTGTTGTTTTTGGACGTCTTTGACGTGGATCGTCTTCAAAGATGGTACGATCACGTTTAAATTCAGCAACCCGTCTTTTTACTGTACTAAGTGAAGGCGAAGATACCTTATGCTACATTTTCAATAGTCGTTGAGGCCGTGATATAGCACTTATGGACTACCTAAGCTCTGACGTCACAATGGGTGGGGATTTTGAAAACCTTTCCAAACAAATCTGCTTTACATGTGTTTCTCCCATAAGAAGTTGGAAATATTGATTTTTATATATTTTAAAGAATAAATAAGGAGTTTCGCTTCTGAATATCTATTCTGTGCGATTGCTTTTGTTTGTTGTTCGTGAATTTGTGAGGTAAGAGTATCAAAGTATTAAGATATTTACTATCAAAGTTCATATTTTGAGGTTATATTGTGTTAGATTAAAACTTTAATTATTTTTTCTTTATTTCAAGGTATTTTGTCGTTGTTTTTATATCAGGGTATTTCAAAATTAATCAATTAATCATTTAATTTATTTACGTAGTTGAAAAATATTCAAATTTATGTTTTATTCTTTTTTAGGTGCCAGTAATTTTATCCCATGAAAGTACTAAAGATATTCGTTTTGTAAGGACTGTTATTTTATTATTACATCCATCCTATTATTAGTAAAAGGGTTATGTGCTTTGCTCCAAATTGTAAATTATAGTGAGCAAAAAACATACAAGTTTTTTGTATTCTCTTCCAAAATTTCAGAGAAGCAGAAGTAGATAAATCTCATGAGGTAAAAGTAGTTATTAATTTGTTTTAATATTGCTTATATTTTAGATATTCTGTGATCGACTCTTTAGATTTATACTATGTATCTGGCAAGATATTTAAAGATAATTTAAAATGTATTTGTGCCCTTTATAAGGTTAGGCTAAAATTAATAACTTTATTTTGGTCTGTTTTTAAGTGACATTTGTAATTTCATGGAATAAATAAATAAAAAATGTATTGGATGAAATTTTATTTAAAAAACTGATGGAAAAGATACATACCCACAAGAAAAAAATCAAGCATGCCTTCCAACTGCATTTTTATCATATAGAAATTATAGAATCATTTCAGATTGTACAGAAGTGTAAGTACTCAGTTATTCCTACCAATATGGAAAAACAAAAATTAACATACAGTTCTTATAAGCATCATAACACCTGGAAGGTTCTTGTAGAAGTAGCATCAAATGGTGTCATCACATATGTCAGCAGTGCCAATCCTGCATCAACTTCTGATAAAATAATTGTTAAAAACTTGTGGCAAGAGAAAGAAAGAAAAAACCAAACAAAACAAAATAAACACAAACAAAATCAAACTAGTTTCAGAATCTTCTGATAATGAGTCAATAACAATAAGTCTGAAAGATGATTCCAGATATGGATGATGATTCTGATGCAGAATGTTGTTCAGGATGTTTAGAAATATATTCACAAACTTCCAAATCGGACGACTGGCTTCAATGTATGCATTGCAAGAAATGGTTTCACGAATCTTGTAGCAAATACTTTAATTTCTGCGACCTTTGTGTCAAACTTATTTGTTCAACAAGAAGTACCTAACTAGTTATGTAACATAAAAATGAGTTATATGTAACGTAAAAATGAGTTATCTTAATTTTTTTTATAATGCGCCATCTCACCTTCTTCATAGAGCCAACTCTCCTCCATTACGTGGGTGAGATGGTTTTTTTTCATACTTATATTTTTTAACATAAACAAATATATTTAAGTTTTATTTGTATTTCATAACTGAAATTAGTATCAATAATCTATAATCATTATATGAAGTTTTATTTTACTTCCAACTTTCAAAAACTTTTAAAAATACATCCATTCTAAAAAAAGTGGCCATCTCTCCTCGAATACCCTACAGTGAAAAAAAAAATCTGTAAAATAAATTTGTGAGATTTTTTGTGTTTTTCGCTTTTTAATCCTAGAAGGGTAATCTTCGTAAATTTTACGAGCTATCTTTTGATTTTATTGACTTATTTGGCGCCAGTATCGAGGAGGAAAAAAGTCTTCGTCTAAACGTAAACAGAAGAAAATAATCTACTAAATATACTAAAACGTTAAGCCCTTTTCTTGTCCACCACTTTACTCAAAAACCATATTAGATAATTAAAATATTTTTTCGGGATATTATAAGTATTACGTATGAGATTGTCAAGATATACTTTTGGTACAAAAATTCACTTCCGGTTTTGAGATGACCGGAAGTTAAAATTTACTTTAAGTTTTAGACCCCACAATGTATATATGGATCGAAAGGTATCGTCGAGACGAATCTAAATATGCACTTCCGGTTGCGATCCGACACCGGAAGTGACCCGAAACGCGCATAAAACGCCAAGAGCAAAATCAGAGCAGATCGGACACCGGATTCGTGATCAGCATGCAAAATTAACTGTTAAATGATATCCATGTCGACATTTGATGAACTAAAAATTGCATTCCGGTTTTGAGGTCGACTTCCGGTTTCGTTTTTATTAAAAAGTAAAAAGTAAACGTTTACATAACTCCCGGTGCCAAGCAAAAGTTTTCAGAAAATGGAGACATTGTAACAAAAAACATTGTTTTCGACGAAATTTTTCGTAATATTTAATACACTTTTTACTTGCATGGTTAATGATGAATGTTATGTATATTTTGCTTATATTGTTTGTATTGATCTCTTAATTTTTCTCGCAAAATAAAAATTTCATTTAAAAAACTCGATGTCGAGTTGGTCCGCTAGTTTATTATTAATTATCTGCACTAAAATCGGAAAACAAATCAAACACAAGGTTTTAAGTTACAATTTTTATTAACTTTTTTTTATTTCTTATATTTTCTTTAAGTTTTAGGTTTTATTTCTGAAATACAGATTGCTTTTTGTTTGTGGTAGATGAATAGAAGGAACCGCATCACCCTTTAGTTTAGGTCCTTTCTTTGATTCAAATTTCTTTTAAAGTCTTCCGGCTTAAAGTGTTTGGAACAAATCCTTGAGGTTTTAGTATTCGATTTGTCTTTACGGCAACAAGCAATAACCCACAGTTTTTCTACTACCGAGTCCTTGGGAAAACTATAAAACCTAACAGATTTATCGGCACCTTTTGTCTGATTATCACTTAAACAACTAGCTACTGCACAACACATTTTATGTTTACGTTGTAAACTATTCCTAGCAAAACCCCCCTAAAAAATACAAGATGGGTATAAGTGTGGTACTTTACTTTACTTTACTTAATCAGTAGACCCATTTGTACCTTTCGGTGTTGGGCCGTTTATAATACAATTCTTTATATTACAATATTTTATAATCTTTTGAGGTGTCCTAGCTCTTAACAAACTTTCTCCATTCCTTCCTATTGTATGCCATCTGAGTTGCTTCCTGCCAAGTCTTACCCTTACTCTGCAGTATCTGCGAGATGTCACTGTTCCATTCTTTAATGGGTATTCCTCTTCTGTTCTTCCCTATTGGTTTGGCGTCCCGCACTCTTTTTACTTGTCTATTATTGTCCATCCGGGTTAGATGTCCGAACCATGCCAATTTTTTCTCCTTGATTGATTCGAGAATCGATTTGATTTTTAGTCTTTCTCTTATTTCTTCATTTCTGATTCTATCAGTTCTTTTTACTCCGATCGTTCTTCTGAGGTATTTCATTTCTGCTGCCTGAATTCTGCTTTGATGCCTTTGATCCAATTTTCTGCTCCATATGTCACTGTAGGTCTGTATATTGTTTTGTATATTGTCACCTTGGTCTTTGTTGATATTTCTTTGTTAGTAAGGAATCCTCTATTTAGTGCTTGGAATAGTTTTCCTGTGTTTTCCATTCTATTGTTAAAATCGTCCTCGATGTCTCCTTTGTTGTTGATTACTGTTCCTAAGTATTTGTATGAATTTGTCTGTATTATTTTTTGTTGGCCTATCATTATTTCTAGTTGATCTTCCGTCCCTTGTTTCCTTGATATTTTCATTATCTGAGTCTTCTCTTTGTTTACGTTTAAGTTGTATTTGCTTGCTTCTAGGTTCCATTTCTCTAAGTTGTATTTCAGTTTTTCTGCTGTTTCCGCAATTAATACTATGTCGTCTGCAAATATACACATCTCAGCGTTTATCATTTGCATTCTGTTCCAACCGATGCAGTATTTCTTGAACGTTTTCTTACATTCTTTCACTATCTCATCTATTACATTTATGAATAGCACTGGGCTGAGACTTCCTCCTTGTCTAACTCCTTGCGTTATTTCAAATGGTTCTGACTGCATATTTGACATTCTTA